GGCGGTTTTAAGGTTGCCCCAGACGGGAGCGGGCGGTTTTAAGGTTGCCCCAGACGGGAGCGGGCGGTTTTAAGGTTGCCCCAGACGGGAGCGGGCGGCTAAAAATAGACAGTGGGTCCCAAGATTGTTGGCAGGATGGATGTTGGCAACAAAATTAAGGCTGGAGAGTATAAAACTAAAGAAAATAGTAGAAAATCAGATATTTGGAAAAGCTTTAAAATTTATTTTGTGTTATACTGTATGTTCGCGTTTGTTCTGAACCATAGTATTAAGTTGTGATGTTCAGCAAGTTTGAATGTATTTCTGTGAAATGTGTCTCAGGGTTTTCTGCGCGGATATTTGCACAGCTGATTAGTTTTTCGCCTCAGTTTGTATGTGTATTTGTAATTCAAAGCTGAGAGATTTTTGTTAGGGATGCACCGATACTGATACCGGCATCGGGCCGATACTGCACTCATACACTGATACTCGTACTCGTAAAAAATGTCCGATATCAAGGACCGATACCACTTAATTGCAACATTACGCTAAAACTCAAAGCTGCGGTATTTTTTCAGACTGTAAGGCTTGTTCTGCTAAAGTGTGAAGAGGAGGAAGGGACAGCACGCCACTGAATTAACACGAGCAATTTGATCAAATGACGCACCATAGTGCAGAGTACACGGAATTTGCTAATGCTAGCAGAGAAAGACCGCAACAACAAACTTTAGCGATATCCAAAGCTGAGGTATCGTATTGGAATCGGGACAGTAAAAGTGGGATCGGTGAATCTCAAATTTTTGTTGAATTTGTTTTTATTTATTCTGTTCTTGATCTACTGACGGGAGCTGGATTTAAAAAATAGTCCCGCGCAAGGCTCTACAACACACACCTAAATGTTGGTTATAATTCCTTTTGGCTGGTCCTGTCTGCTTTATCCATAAGATGGCACCACTGAGCAGCCCGTACCCTGATTACTGTNAATACACACCTAAATGTTGGTTATAATTCCTTTTGGCTGGTCCTGTCTGCTTTATCCATAAGATGGCACCACTGAGCAGCCCGTACCCTGATTACTGTCCTCAGGGGAGGCCACAGAGGAGGAGCTGCATGCTGGCTTCATGGAGACCCTGCAGTGTGCTTGCACTGACCTGAAGACGCTCTCGTACGGCACGTTTGAGGACTACTACGAGGGCCTGAGCATCAAGATAGCTGACGACCTGGACTTTGCCAGTGTTTTGAAGAGCTCATGGGGCATTTGAGCTCTGTGTGCTGTCACTGTGAGAGCTTCTCTGAATAACTGACAGGCTGCATCCCAGGGACAATGATAGTGAACACATGGGACAATAAATGAATTCAAATTATTACTAAGCCATACAGAATGCAAACATGTGGCCATTCATGAAACTGAAGATCTAGACAAGCAGTTTAAGAATAAGGAGCAAGATATTTTTGTTAAAGAATAGCCATAAATGATAGTTTTTCGATTCTTTCTGTCTGTAGCCAGAATAAAATTAAATCTTTAATAAAAAAAAAAAAGTTAGTCTCACAAAGATGTTTTCAATATTGCCAGCAGATGGAGCCAAAACCAAAATATTTTCACCATCATCCATCTTTTTTTTTTTTTTTTTTTTCACCATCATCCATCTTTTTTTTTTTTTTTTTTGCTTCTGTGTGGCACATTTGCCATTATCTAATACAAACTTCATACATGCAGCAGTTGTTAACATTCTTGTTTTGTTCTTATTCTGCATATGTAATGAAAAGTAATTCATGACCAGCTGGCTACGTTTACAACCCAGCTTGAGTCGTTCGGAATATGCGCTTGTTAATCAAGTATCAGCTGGTTGGCGCTGAAGGTCTTTTTAGGTTAGTGACAGTGGTGGGTAATTCAGGTACAGTGACAGTGGTGGGTAATTCAGGTACAGTGACAGTGGTGGGTAATTCAGGTACAGAGACAGTGGTGGGTAATTCAGGTACAGAGAGTATAAATCCAGACCAAGAGTATTCAACTGCTTGGATCTGAACTACCCATCTCTGGTTAGGGACTATTTTAAAAGCAATAAAAAGCCACAGACAATATATGTGGCTATTACAGTGTTTCCCAAACCAGTCCACGTTTTTGCTCCCTCCCAGCCAATCAGGAACACCAAATACCTGGTACAGGTGTGCTGGCGGCTGAGAGGAAACAAAAACGTGGACTGTCCAGGGTTCCCTGAGGACTGGGTTGGGAAACACTGGGCTATTAGAATATACTCTTGAGAATGTTAATGAATGAATAGTGGGTTGTGGCTAAATTGATCTCTTAAAACTGCTTCATATGTGAACCCAGATAAGTCTATAATAAGTTGTTGCTGATGATTTTAGACTATTGAAATATAATCTATGTATCTTGTATGTATTTTGTTCATTCCGATCAGTTGATGGCTTCAAATTGCCATTAGTATGTGGTTGTGTGTGTATGTCAGACTCCTGTGGTGCAGTTGTTCAGCGGACTGCAACTTACTGGCCATGTCTGGCGGAACCATGCCGTGGTTGTGGGTTCATGCCTCACTGGTAGTATGTGCTTATTCCAGAATTCCCCTCTCGGATGAATAAAGTTCATCTCTTCTTGTCATATTAGTCCATGGTAATACTATAGGAGCTGACATCACAAATAGGGTATTCCCTGTGCCTCCTGGAAGGGGCTTTCCGTTCACTGCAGCCCAGAATTGGATAAGAAGCCATGGAAGATTGTTGGATGGATGTAAGGATGAATGGATGGAGTATCACAAGAATACACATGCAGAAAACCACAAAACCTCAAAATTAATTCCCGACTTTTAATAGAGAACTCAGAAACTTCACGGGTTACTAAGAGGCAGCCAGTACAGGAGCTCCTCATACTGCAAAGCATGGAGTCGAAGGACCTTGATGAAAGAGTAGAGAAAGAGAAACCCAGCAAACTCAGCCACCTTCCTAATAAGCAAGTAATTCTCCCCAGGCAATGCTGTGGGCTGAAGCACCAAGCTGGAACTTTCCAGAAAGTGACTGATCGTGGTTGCTCTCTGGTGCCCTCTGCTGGCACCAGCTGTGATTAGCTGAGGATGCAATATGGGATCCAAATGGAGCAGCTGGTTCTTTATTAAGAGTATAATGCATTATAAGAGTCAAGCTTTGACTTTTTTTAAGGATATGTTTTGGCTTCGTTCCAGGTACAGAAGAATTGCTCGACTAATTAAGACCATAATAAGCTGGATGTTGATTTTATTAATGATTCACAAACCAATATATCATGACTCCTTGGTCTGTAGCGAGCAACATCTTGCAATTTAAACGACTTACGAATCAGAAAATGTACCAATACCTCCATGTAAGAAGACAGAGCTGGGATTTCACCTTTAGATTTATTGGTCTGTTTCAGATCACAAACATTAATTCATGGTAAATTGCATACATTGTTATTTTTTGATTCCTGGTCTCAAACAAATCCTACATAAATCCTATATATTCTTTGTGGGGGGTGAGCTCGCATCAAACTGGTGTTAGGGGACTCAGGAAGTTTCAAAGGAGCTATAAAACGGAAACTGAAGCATTTGCATATAATTACCCAAAGATCAACCCACTAACTAAGCCCCTACACCTTCTGCGTCTTTAACAAGAAAGAAGCCTCATCGGGACGCATTAGGGTGAGTCGCGGTGGGAGGACATATGCATCTATAACCATTTATGGACATTAATATCCAAAAAATTCAGATGTTAAAGGACTGTTGGCGCCATTATCAATCGATTGTAAAAGATGCCAAAAGGAAACACTTCTCTGACTTAATTCTGTCATATTGTCACAATCCTCGTGTTTTATTTAAGACCATTGACTTTGTTCTTAATGCACCCCAGACAGATTGTATTGAGCCCTCCCCTGTAGCATGTGAGAATTTTTTTACGCTTTTTTCTTGAGAAGGTCTCCTTCACTAGGGCTCAAATCTCTCCTTTTACCTTTGACCCCTCAGTCTCTGTTCCCTGCCCCGCCGTGTTTGACAGGTTTGAGCCTGTGACGTTGTCCTATTTAGAGGAGATTGTTGGTCGTTTGAAGCCTGCTGGGTCTCCAAACGATGCTGTCCCTCCTAAATTTTTTAAACAGGTTTTGCCCACAGTTGGACCTTTGGTTCTTAAACTGATCAATCACAGTTTGTTGTCAGGTGTGGTCCCTGTGGATTTTAAACATGCAGTAGTCAAACCGCTGATTAAAAAACCTGCTCTTGATCCCACAGTTCTTGCAAATTACAGGCCTATCTCCGAAATTACAGGCCTATCTCCAAACTGCCTTTTCTTTCTAAAATTATTGAAAAGATAGTTCACAGTCAATTGATAACCTTTTTGGAAAGGGAAAATGTTTTTGAGGTTTTCCATCTGGTTTTAAATCCTTACACAGCACTGAATCAGCCCTTTTAAAAGTTTTAAATGACATATTCTTAGCTACTGACTCTGGCGACTGTGTTGTTCTTTTGTTATTAGATCTGACAGCTGCGTTTGATACAGTGGATCATGCCGTTTTACTTTCTCGTTTGGAGCAGTGGGTGGGCCTCATAGGCACAGCACTGGACTGGTTCAGGTCCTATTTGGCAGAGCGAACCTTTTGTGTCAGTCTCGGTGACCATGTGTCCCACTCCGCTCCTCTACTGTTTGGGGTCCCACAGGGCTCAGCTCTAGGCCCCCTCCTCTTCCCGTTGTATCTACTCCCTCTTGGTTTTATACTGAGAAAACATGGCATTGCATTTCATTTTTATGCTGATGATTGTCAGATCTATGTTCCTCTAAAGAAAAAAGACACATACTCTGTGCAGCCCTTACTTCAGTGTCTCGATGACATTAAAGCCTGGATGGCTCTTAACGTTTTAAAATTTAATGATAAGAAGACTGAGGTGATGGTTTTTGGTAACCCTACTGGGACCCCGAGTGTGTACTTAGATTCCTTGGACCAGTATAAAAAGCAAGTTGTCAGGAACCTCGGGGTTAACGTGGACGCTGAGCTCAAGTTTGACAGTTAAATTAAGGCAGTTGTAAAATCGAGCTTCTTCCAGCTGAGGCAGCTGGCTAAAATAAAGCCAATTCTGTCTCGGCAACATTTTGAGACCGTAATCCATGCCTTTGTGATCACCCGGCTGGATTACTGTAATGCACTTTATATCGGGGTCAGTGCTTCATCTATCGTTCACCTCCAGAGGATGCAAAATGCTGCCGCTTGTCTTTTAACTGGCACTCGGACGTTTGAGCACATTTCCCCCATTTTAGCTTCACTCCACTGGCTGCCCATTTCTTTTAAGATTCATTTGAAAATTCTTTTGTTTGCTTTTAAAGCCCTCCATGGCCTTGCCCCATCCTACCTCTCTGAGCTGCTACTGCCTTATACACCCACCTGCTCTCTCAGGTCAGCCGATCAGCTGCTCCTGAATGTACCCAGGACTAAGTGTAAACTTACAGGAGACCCTGCTTTTGCTGGAGCAGCTCCCAAACTGTGGACCGATCTGCCTTTAGAGATCAGACAGGCCTCTTCTCTGTCTGTTTTTAAATCACTTCTGAAAACCCATCTCTATACCTTGGCCTTTGACACCTTATGAGATGTTTGCTTTAGCCTTTTATTTTTGATTGTTTTAGTTAGTTATATGTTCTTTTATATTGTTTTTACTATAGATCTGTTATTTATTATGTGTTTTATTTTTGTTCTTATTTTTTATGTTTCTGTTTTGTTTTATCTATTTTTCTTAATTTATTTACTGTACAGCACTTTGGTCCTGTACAGGTTGTTTAAAGTGCTTTATAAATAAAGCTGGATTGGATTGGATTGGAAAAAAGGTGGGACACGTACCCCCCTCCCCTCGCCAAGAACATGCTCACGAGTAAGCTAGGCAGATGGCTGAAATTGTAAGGTAACTATAAAGTAAAACACTGAGGTCAGTAGGGTTAGGGCAGACACATTCACTATCCCACTAAAGTCTATGGAACATGTATGAATAGAAATGACTAGAATGCAGGTCTGCCTCAGGCATTAATGCATCCTTCAATAAATAGACCTCTTTCTGAAAGAAGACTGGTAGCATTATTCTTTCTATGCCTCTTTTTCAGCCACGTTAAGTCTTGGTAAAATGACTGTATCCTAAATTACTGGTATTGCTCTTATATGTTGCGTGAGTACGCAATAGCTTAGGTAAATACACTGCGGTACCCTGTGTGCAGACTGCATTAGCGATGACATTTACACAAAGGACAATTATAGGTTGGTCTCTGTGTTTGTGCACTTAATCGCATCTATGTGCAGGGGGGCCCTTGAATATGTAAAATTGGGTGGTGGTGGGGGGGCAAGGAATGTATAGGTACACGCCTGTCTATGTTATAATTCTTTGTCACGATAATTTGGGGGGGTGGCCGGCCCAGCGGGTAGCATGGCAGCCTCATGCTTCCAGGATGGCAGGCTCCATTTGCCGCCCCCAGCTCTGTCGTGTGGGCTTCCTCGAGCTGCTCCGCTTTCCTCCGTGGGTTTGCGTGGATTGGTGTCTCTAAATTGGTGCCAGCTTGTGAGGACCCCCGCTATGGTGTGACATCACATCCAGTGCATTCTCCGCTGTCCTATGCTTCCTGACGCAGACTCTCTGTGACCCTGCAAATTTTTAATTTAGTAATTTTGTAATTAAAAGGAACTGAACCAATACCAGAAACAGTACAGTATTTTAAAAAATACTACAGGTATGACTAACCTTTTCATTGGGATATTTCAGCCTTTAAGCATTCTGTAATTTCATTAAATGTATTACCCATACACTGGCTCACAGCTCATTGGCTGTTGGTGTTTGTTTGCTCTAAATTTCATTGGCTGTCAGCAATGGAATCACCCCAACATAACAAGACCATGTGGCTGCACCTCTGCAGAACAAAAATGGACGTGAAATTGCTTTGTCGTGGAATGCCTTAAATGTCAGGGTGATGCTGGAGGAGATCCGCTGATGAAGAGCGTGTGGAAAGAAGTTCTGTTAGAACCGGCTCCAAGGAGCAGACTGCTGGAACACGTAAATCGCGCTGAACTTTGCCAGAAGGTCCATTGTAGGTAATATGCATCTCAGCCTAAGAATAAACAAACTAATAACCCCAGACATCCACTTGCATTCTCTGATTTCAAATTGCAGCTTAAGCTTTGCTGTGAAATCAAAACTGCAATAGAGCCAAACAATATAAATATGTCTACACGCTGGGCAGGGTTGCTGCTGGGGGGGGCTAATATATAGGGCATGGTCAGGCATTGGCGCCAGGCCATTGCAGAGCACACAGACACCCACAATCACACACCAAGGGCGATTTAAAAACACCACTCTATTTATATGCAACTTTTAACTGGGATGCAAACCTGTACTGTTTGTCTTTGAGAGATTCCTGTTCTTTAAAGCAAACCCCGCACTGGATCATAGGTTTCTATGTGTGACGTATCCTTATCGGCACGGGTATATGTAAGAGTCCTAGTTCCGAAATAAATTGCATGTCTATGCTGCATCCTTGCTACCTGTCTCACACTCACCAAATACACCTCAAACAGACATATCCAAATATAGAATCTCCACGTGGGCTAATCTAAAATTCTAAATTACCACGGGGGGCATTCAGAAAATGAGCAGGTCGTCTGATGCAATTTTTATTGTATTTCATATCAGTGCTGGCGAATTCCTTGGAAGAAAGCTTCCCTCTGTGTTTTCTTGTAATTGTTTGTTTCAGATCCCCGTGAAGATCAACAGGGCTGACGCGGTGTCTCTGTTGGTCTATTTTTAGTGCTGGAGCTGTGTGTGTGTGTGTGTGTGTGTGTGTGTGTGTGTGTGTCTGGGGTGGGCTGACAACTGGCTCACCGTGGTGGTGGTGGTGGTGTGCCGTCAGCGGTCCACACCTACCTGTTCCAGGAGAGACCCGCGAAGCTTCGGGTGGCGCAAACTGCCACCTTCGACGTGATGAATCACGACATTAATATTTGGCAAAGATACTTGCGGTGGCTGCGGGTTGTAATCTCAGTTTTTAGTAGCTGTGCGATTCTCCCGACACATATGTCCAAATTTTAAGTCATTTTATTGCTATAAGATTGAGCAGCCAGACTAATGTGCTGTCTGGCTTGTGGCATATAGCACATAATGACGAATTTTAGCATGTTTAATTACAATTGTTCCAGAGGCGGTATCCTACGTTTAACTTTTTATTTCCAATGTAACTTTATAACCCCATAGTAGCATAAACGAAAGCACCGTGCCCTAAATAAGTCATCCCTTTACATACGGTGATCACGGGATAATTAGACCGTTTGATTACAGCGGTCTATGGTTTTGCTACACCTGGGAATTTGTACTTAAGAATTAGCCTGATTTATGATCTCTTCGCTGGGTAAATGACGGCAAAGTGTTTAAATAGCCTATGTAAAAGTGCGACTGCCGTTGAGTCTCGTTATGTATGTACATAATACACATTTCAATCAAAACGTTGTATGTCGCCCTGTTTATTTTTAAAAGTATAGAAGATGTAAGACCATGGGAATAAATAAAAGGCTTTCAGTTAAACACTCATTATACGATGCTGAAATAAGTGATGAAGACATGTGGGGGAAATCCAGCGCTCACTGGCGCTTCTCAAATTACAGACTATGATGTCACGAAATAATACAAAAACGATATATGGAGCAGCTCATTTAGTGTGTTTGCAAACGGAATACTATATATCTCGTGAAGCCTGTGAGTGTTTGTGTCTCAATTCAAATCGAGGTGAAGGGATCTGTGAACGCGCAGCCACCCCGTCCATCTGTGAACGCGCAGCCACCCCGTCCTTGGCTTCTCTTTTTGTTAAAAGCCGTGCTCGTTTCAGAAATAAATCTGTAAAGACTGTCGCTTTATTGAGATAGCCTGTCAAAACCATAAAGCAACACTAGCAAAAACACCTTACATACAAAATCAAAACAGGCTATAATGCTATGGATATTTTAAAACACTTAATTTGTAAAAAAAAAAAAAAAAAAAATGTTTTCATTTGAAGGTCGTGCTACGGAGGACTTATTTTAATGTGGATATTTCAATCTCTCATTTGACCTGTTGAGAACGCGGACAAAGACATAAATGCACAAGAAGTGTACACATTCATTTTTTTTAAATTATTGACAGGAAGCAGCCGATACAATGAAACATCAATAAATAAGCTGGACGTCTGGATTCGCCTTGAGGTGTAAGCGGGAGGTGTGCGCCAGGTCTTATCCGTTTCTGGGCGGCTCGCATTGGGTTAAGTAACGGAGAAAACAAAGGGTGTGCCCCTTCACGCCATCTCCCTGAGAATAAGCAGCACCAAGTAACGGGAGATAATTAGACTAGTGCGATGCTGGAGCGCGCAACTTGGAAGCGTCGGGGGTACAGCGCTGAAGATGGATGAGAAGAGCTGTCATTTCGTGTGACTTCACCTGCCCGACTGGGACGAAAGGGAACGGTCTTTATAAATGAAAGCAGCCCTATACGATCGCGAAGAGCCACTGGCTGAAGTCGCCCGCACAAGGAGAAAGCAGATGATGTCTCACACGCGACAGTGATGCTATAGCCAAAAAAGGCTGGAGAGAGCAGACTTCTCAAGGATCTCCTTCAACATTATCCCAGGCGCTTCTGTTAACCTCGTTGAACTAGTAGGGCACTGCGCTTTTTGTTACTTTTGAGGCGCTCAATACTTTGTTCCAGTAAAGTCATGTCTTATCCAGAGCGATGGGCAAGATCGATGACAAGGAGAGGATAATCCTCAACGTTGGGGGAACCAGGCACGAAACATACCGGAACACTCTGAGGACCTTGCCGGGAACACGGTTGGCTCTCCTGGCTTCCGAGTCTGACACGGAGTCCGTGCTCGATCTGCTGCAACAAGTCCCGGGCTTCATTGAGTACAACCCGAAAAACAACGAGTACTTCTTTGACCGCCACCCGGGAGTTTTTGCCTATGTCCTCAACTACTACAGGACCGGGAAACTTCACTGCCCGGCCGATGTCTGCGGTCCCCTATTCGAGGAAGAGCTGTCTTTTTGGGGTATCGATGAGACCGACGTGGAGCCCTGCTGCTGGATGACCTACCGGCAGCACAGAGACGCCGAGGAGGCGCTTGACGTTTTTGAGATGAATGTGGACAACGGGGACGGGGACGATGAAGACATATGCAGAAGGCTTGGGATTGAGGACATGGTGTCATCGGACGGCAGCGTCAGCCGCTGGAAAAAGTGGCAGCCGGTGATTTGGAATCTTTTTGAGGACCCCTACTCATCCCGAGCTGCTAGGGTAAGAGCCGGGGGCGGCTGATGCGCGCTCACTGCGCTCGTCACCAGCGCTCGGAAAAGTTCTCCGCTATTTATTTCGGTGAACGGCTCGCGTTTCAGTAAGAAACAAAGCAGAAATGGGCTTTGATTCGTTTACATCTGCAAACACGATGAGATGCGAATAACTGCAAGTCGAAGGTATAGGCCTGTAATTAAAAGGCGAATGCATTACCAACAGACTTTTCTGGTTATTCTATAGGTACATTGATGCTAAAAATAGCTTCACAAGTTTCTTTCCCCCCGTAGTATATTTTTAAAGCGCATTAAATTTGCAAGTATTATATACAAATACAATACAGGTGTTGTAAAAAGTGAAGCGTTTATAGTTATGTTTCATAATATATTTCTAAAATATCCACCTGGTTAAATTGAAGTATAAATATTGCAACTTCATGTAAGAGGGTACTGCAGATGCCCAGAGGAAGAATCGAAATAATAATGGAACAAAATTGGTAAAATTAAATCTAAGGGAACTGTCTATATTTAGGATTTATAAAAATTCAGTCAGAGGTTGTTATGGAAACCAGTTTTGGAGGTGGCGTTGTGACGGAGGGGCCTGGTGCGCGCGTTTGTTTGTATGTGGTGGGGGACTTCCTCTGAGTGAAATTCATATTATATTGAAAGCAACGAAATGAACACCGAGTCATTTTTATCATTTATTTCACTTTTTTTTTTAACCTGTGAAAACCCTGTAAATAAGCCAGAATGTAAAATAGTCACATCAATGACTTCTCCTATACAATGACATCATATTGTTTTTCAGAGAAGACTTATGACTCAGTAATACCGATCTTTGAAACCACTGACCTTCAGGAATTGAAGTTATAGTAGTAACGTAACTGCCGCTGTAAATGAGTATTGCAATTGATTTTTTAAATGTTTTTTTTTCTTCCATTTTTCACAACTGGAGCAACTAAACAGTCCATACTGACTTAAACACTTCATATACCAACCATCATCAAATAATGACTATTAAAAAATCACCTTTTATGAGAGAGGTGGGGACAATCAATAAGAGGTAAAATTGCTGGTAATATGTTGTTGTTATTGGTTTAAGCCTAGCTTTGAGTCAGGAGCTCTTATCACTTTTTAGCGGGTGGTGGGTGGGTGGGGGGGGGGGGGGTTGAGCCTTCATCAGCAAAGAATCTGGAGGGGACTGTCACAGAAGGACATCCGCCTTGCTCATTTCTGAGTGGTCCACATTCTCGGCACGGGAGCGCTGGCAAATATTGATATCACACTGGTGATGGGAAATAAATTGCCCTCACATCCGTGCGTGTGGCAGGAGGGCGAGTCCAGCAGTACGACTCTAACACCTCTTTTCTTAGTACAGCCCATCTGTATCTGGGCCTAAAAGTCCATGACTATAATACTGTATTCAGTACATAGCAAACAGGTGTACATATTTAGATATCAACTAAGACCAGAAAATGCCTTGCTTCATGTATGTCATGTAGGGTATTTAATAAATTGGATGAACGGTCCCGCATTTTTGAACCATTTCCGGGATCTATAATTTCCCGATCACACTCGTTGGGTTAAAACAGCATCGTGATATTGTCCCAGATTGTTTATCCAATCAATAATTAATTGTTTCAGCAGCCACCTACTTCCAGGCGTTGTTGCTCATATGCATTATTAATGAGATGGGGACAGAGGTTTGACCTTGCGTTTGATGTGTGACACAAGCGTTTGAACCCACATGCCCTGCTAGGCTAAATTCGGCCCAGACTTGCGCGAATGTGAGTTTGCATTACAGGATGTCACCCAAGGGAGTAGAAACAAAGCACAAACTAAATTAATAAATATTTACCTGTGCATTTAAATAAAAGTAAGTGCCGTGCTGTAGTTAATCTTGAGGCATGTTCGAGCGGAATGACACTTTGCTTCTTGAGGGCCACTTCATTGCAGAATCTGCTGTTACGCTTGAATTTGCGTTTTCCTCAGTAGGCATCAGGAACCCCTCCTCCTCCCTTGCGTTAAGGCAGCATAATGTGGAGCTACTCTTGTGAGGACTTACTGGCTTCATTTAGCTCCTGCCAGACACTTGCTGCGGCCACTTCAGGGGGACTTGAGAGTGACATCGATGAAGTTCCATGGGATCTAGTGTGAATCATATTTGAAGAACATAGATTGGACAAGTTGGACTAATTTCTTGGGTGATGACTAGGGCAAATCCAGGAACTAAGTGTATTCCGGGAGCTATGGGTGGGGTGCTTTTGGTCCTTTCCCGGTGTTTAGCTTAACAACATTTCATCATCTAGCAGAAGGCAGTAATGATGCGTAATTATATTTGCCAATTTGCAGTGGGTGGCCTAGCCATTAAAGACTTATTGCAATAGCCCACAGGTCTTGCTGTAGCGACGCCAGTTGAAGTTCTTGACCCGAGTCGCCCCAGTTAAATATTCCGCTTTAAAAATTGTCCGTCACTCTGGATAAAAATATTACCTTGGGGATTAAGTGCAAAAGAATTTGCCCGACGAATGCTGCCATTCACATAAAGGTGCAATTATGTAATTCACTACAATTCCGTTGTGGTTTTCTTCACACATTCACTTCATTCACAGCTTCAGTCATACTGGAAATGTCATACTACTCACACTGCTGCTCAGTTTTAAATCAGATACTGTTACCATGTTTATTTAGCAGGTACTTCTGCCAAAGTGAGGTACAAGTGAGGATCAGACAGTGTCTTTGGAGCAGTTGGGGCTAAGACCCTCGCTCACCAGCACAATGATGATATCAGCACTGTGCTGGCCGTGGGATTAGAACCAACAACCTTCACGGGCACATATCACTAACCTGCTATGCTTTAAATACAGTCACCTCAGGAATCCGCTGCTTCAGCAATCTTAAACCCTTCTGATACTGTGTTTGTTTAATTTCCTGGTCACATATTATGAACGATTAATGCTTTACACGGCTAATGAGGGGACCTGTGCTTTCCCTTCCGCTCGTCCTTCATCTCCTGTAACACCCAGGGGTGTTTTCAACCCAAAGCTTAAAGAGACACAGTGACACAACGAATTCCCACCTTGTCGGCAATTGTGAGTGTGACATCCGTTAGCATGCAACCTGATTCCCGGCACAGCTGTATCGACAGAGTGTGTAATTACAGCACCGTACGGTGACATGTTGTCAGTAATCTTGTGTGGAGGAAATCTACAGCATCGATTTAAGACATTTAAAAATGTATACTTCATTCACCCGCTCACCACTTCAACGTCCCACTGAATTCCATGCAATATGATTCCTGAAGTGAAGTCTGATGCCTAAAGACATTGGGTGTGTAGTTTTGGGATTTAGGACAGATGTTTGAAGGGATTTTTACAGATGTTTGAAGGGATTTTTACAGATGTTTTAAGGGATTTTTACAAATGCTTGAAGGTACTGTCAGCTTGAAAAATTTTTTTAAATCTTGCTGACAAAAATGTAATTTCTGTGGGGGAGGGCATGATATATTATCCTGAATGCAGGTGTTACCATCCATCCATCAATTTCTTTATACCCGCTTGTCCTATTCAGGGTCACGGTCACAGGGGCGAGGAGCCTATTCCGTCACAGGGTACACTCACATCATTCATCCACATACAGTTTGGCGACTCCAGGTCACCGTACCATGTTTTTGGATTATGGTGGGAAACATCGTAGGAAACTCCACAATGACAAAGGGAGAACATGGTAACTCCACACAAGTAGAGATATGAATCCTGGTCTCATATGGATGAGACAACAGTGTGAAACACAGTGCCACCATGCTGCCCACAGCAGGTATTACGGTAGTTAAATACGAGGAGCCCTAATGGATAGGTGTATGTTCATATCCAGTAAGGGTAGGGTGACCACCTAATCCATGTCAGGAGGGACACTATGAGCTACAACAGGATTTGTAAACTACCATTTCATCCATTTCAATTAAAAGGACCAGGATTTCACTTAAGCACTGGGTTCTTGCCGTATGCTGATTGGTCAGTCTCCTATAATCATGCATATGTGTCAGTAATGTTAATGCGAAACAGCTGGATGAGTCTTTCAATCTAGGAACTAACCAAACATTTTAGCAGAGCACAGAACCCTTTCAGTTTTAAGGAGTTTGTAAAAGCTGAAGTAGCTCATAGTGTCCCTCCTGATATGGAATAGGTGGTCACCCCAAATAAGGGGACCTGTTTTAGTGTCCATAAAGGTATACATTGTCCAAATGCATAAAAAATTATGAGTCACTTTCAATAAAAACAGTTGCCAAGCAGAGTAAATGTAGCTGGTTGGTTACCAAATATAAACCAGGAGACAGACATGTAGTTCACCATAGTAATGGATCGTCTCATCTTCTGGTGAATCCAGCATCTGAGTTTTCCATTTATGTCTTTCATGCCAACTGCTGTATGAGTGCTTGGCTGAAAAATGTAAACATAAACTGTTTTTTTAAAACTCTTTTTGCAGTTTGCCACTGTCGGACTGTGATGGTACCTTTCCCCGTTCCTACATCTTAATGCACCTCTTTGCTTTCCTGATTTCCTTTGTCACCCGTCGGAGACCGCCCTTTTTCTGCCGCTTAAGAGGTTAGACCGATGGTGTCTGGGTAGCTCGGCACGTTCAAAGATGTTACCTTGGCAGGCTGTGCTCGTCGTCATGGCAACACGCCACTCGTGCTTTCCTGTTTTCATTGAAAGCTGCCCGGTCTGTGAATGCAATTGATCTCGGGAGCTTATTCAACCGTGAACTTTGTAACCCTTCGCTTACTGTATAAGCAAAGCCTTTCGCATTGTTGATTAATTGCGCCAATGACAGGTCCATCCAATGAGAATCGTCATTGTCTATACATACTTCTAAATATGGGCCTTACAAAAACACATTTATGTAAACCGTTATTTGAATAGTGTTGATTTCAGTGCATGCTTTTCGGGCTGTCTAACGTGAAAATTTAAACAGTGAAGCTTTGCATAATAAAAACAAATGTTAAAA